AATCAGTCCTCTTCCGATTATCACACTAGATCAGTATTGACTGTCAATTAACGGCTCTGTCGGTTAGTGAAGTTGTCAAAATCTTGCTTTGGTGGACTGAGGGAGTTTCAAATTAATTCTGATCGGGCTTGGTTCGTTAATCTTCCACTTCAGGCTGATTGATGATTCACCTCGGATTCCACTGGTAGACTTTCCTTAGTCTTTGTGGAGTTGTGAGTATCCCGACAATTTAGTTTGAACGGAAGACGGGTGAGGTCAAGTGGAATTCAGTTGATGATGAACGCACACCAACACATGTTAGCTCGACTGATCCAAAACCGTTCTCCACACGCGTGCCAGTTCCACGCCTTCTATTCTGTTGACACTGGGAGGCTTAACCATTTCTACCGCTTCGGGTATCAGTCCCTGTGACGCCGACGCTAGACAGTTCCGTAGGAGATCATGAGGGTACAAATATCTGAAGACTACGAAATAACCTGTTTTGGGGCAAGGAATTACCACTGTGTTGTGTGCGTGGTGCTAGATGTTCAAATGATTGCTGCGGAGCACTTTACCTAATCTAACTTGGTAGCAACAGCGTCCTAACTCCTCCAATCATTCCCGCATGAAAAGGAAGCATACACGATGACGGAAAATGCATTTCCACCTACGGAGGATGGATCAATAGTGGTAAGATTATATCTCGAATATCGTGCCAACTGAATCATGAGGCGGCCTGTGTGCAGCACATTCAGTTGAAGGACATCATAAACGAGAGGTTCAACTGAGTCTTCCGTGAAAACCAAATTGAATTGCAAATGAGTGTATTTCTCCAAGATTGTACCTTGTTTGAGTGATACTCTGGAATGAGCGAAATTCCGGCCTAGCATTCACACATCCGCCTTGTTCACTTTTAAAAAACCTCAGCTTAGTTACTACATCCTGTTCAGTAGTCAAAAAATCCCAACTCGAACAACATTTCCTATGAAAAATAAAGATTCGGCTGCCCCCGTGTAACAATAGATTGAATCCGTATTTTATGTGGATGGCCGAGGTGGACAATGACAAACTATACTGCATATTTTTTGCAACCGCGCTTTATTGCTTATCAAACAGTGCGGTGAAAAAAAGAGGTTCCCAGCAGCCAGTACCACTGGTGCATCGGCCTGGCTATCACCCAATTACCCATCAGTATAGCAAACAAACAACGAAGTGACTAAATACAAATTGGTCCTCCCAGTTTTCGCTCCTTTAGAACGGAGACTTCTCCCTCCCTAAAAACATTTTATACCCGCCCCACGAGTTGTATTATTAGAATAATGGGTGAAATACCAACTCTCAGAAGGGACCGGAAGATCGTGTACAATTTAGCGACAATACTCCTCAACTGGAAGAACTCTCCAGAGCGATCGGGAAATGAAAACGTTTATTTCCAACTGGCCGTGGTGGACCAGGGTCTTCAGAGACCAGGTTTAGCTTCACTGGTTGACTAAGGTGTACACTCCCTACACTGCCTATTGAGTTAGACAGTTGATCTTTTCGTTAGTAAACGCCTTCGTAACACAGTAAATCACTCGAACTACCATAAAGCGCGAGCTAGACGATTACTAGCTTATTATTTTTAGTTAACGCTACGTGTACTTCGATTTACTTCTAGCTCGATTACTCAATGAAACATTGCTTGGTCGTCCGATGGAATGACTCAGGTCTTTAGCTGACCAATTTATGATGCATAAAGTATACTCGCCCCTTATATTTGAAATGAAAGGCGTTTGGCCCGGTCGGAAAGACATATTGTAATAGTAAGTAATTATTATAAATCTGTTAATGATCAGCAATGTCGACGAGAATTAATAAGGTCGCAGGAATTGTCACCTGCCTATGCAGTTGAATTGCTCGGGCAAACGTAGACGGGATAGTTTTGCCTTAGAACACTTCTCCAGGCCTTGATTTTGATATGGCCTGTAAAATTTCGACGCTATCAAGTAATGCCTATTTACTGTCCAGCTTTAAGGAAGCTTGTCAGGCAGGGTCTATTTTAAGGTACACACCTACCTAGCATTTTGATAGTGTGTAGGCGAAGAAATGGAAGAATTTCAGCAGTTCAGTCCAGCTACATTTAAATGTTGACCCAAAACTGTGTAGTTGACCAGCCGTTTTTCAAGTAGGAGAAATTTGAATGCATCTAACAGACTAGCTCTAAAATAGTTGGGACGCTTACTGACTAGAAACAGTAAACTAATTTTGAGACAGAATCGCGTGCTAAGTTTCTTCGTTGTTTTGATTTTACGATAAAACAGAGGATAACTGTGGTACTAAGCCAAGGAACTGCATCGCAACCGTATGTTTACAACGAAGATACGGTCGGATTCCTATAAGCCTAACCACACTTCCCCATTCCGACCAGTTGTGTTGACGTACATGGATCGATCACTCGACAGCTTGAGTCCCTCTTGGTCTTTTGTGAATCTTCGATTGAGATCTAAGCCAAGAGTCCTTTGTGTTTGTGCATGGATAACGTTGCTTTTTTCATCATTCATGGATGGCCATAAGGACCTGTCACATACACTTTTTATTTTGCGGTGAAAAGCTCAGAGAAAACTCAGATCGTTTAATTTGAAGTTGCTTGCTTTCACATGACAATGATCCTGATAATGATTCCGAGTAACACCGCATTAAGTGTTTACTGAATGTGCGATTTCCTCATCATAAATATTATTCTAGCTTTCGCAACTCAAGCGTACCAAATGTTTGATAAGTCACCTAGATACCAAAAACTCTAATTCATATTTGCTGCGAAGCATTTAAGATTGAGCGACTATCAATTAAAAGGGCCTAAATGGACTATATTTTGAGAAATTTCTCTCATCACGACTTCAGCTGGCAAAACCATTTAGTAACTTGTTTTGACCGTTTTCATCTGATCCTTCTTCAAGCAGTCATTCGACTGTTCTATTCATCCTCAGCTAAATTTTCTTGACCAAAATCCCACTTCGACCAAATCTGGGGAAATTTCATTAGCTTGCTAACTAACACACACCTTGTTTCCGACCAAATTATTCTGTAATAATCACTAGAGAGTAACTAAAAACATCGTTCGGCCCACGGATGATTGATGTTAGAGGAACGATAAAATCCGGCGTATGACACTGGTTTTGTGATTATTTTGAACGGCTTCTGAAAAACTTTCTCGCTGAAAATTCAATATATCAACTGAAACTTACAACTGAACAAACAAAAGTACCTGGTTTTTTACAATTCTGGTGGAACATCGGCTTCTTACCTCTGGGCAAAAAGCATAACGTATACAAACCTCCCTTCGAAGGACGCGCAACTTCGGAGAAGGTCAAATTACTCCTCTTCTTGGAGCGCTCACTCTTGAAGGGCACAGGCTTTGGCCGTACTTTCTAGCGGGTATGGAGCAGGTAAAGTAGAAATTAACTCTTGTTAGTGCCTCTCTAAATCACTGGGAATAAAAAATAAGGTTGCCATTGTGGCAACTGAACCACAGCGAAGCAAACAAACAGTCCTGTCAACAAATGTGTTGGCGACGAATCTGACAATACGTGCATGCACCTCTTGCAAAAATATAGTTACTTCCGAGAATCTACCAGATGAAAAAATCAGAATGATGCTGCGAATTTCAGCGCAGATTTCTCACCTCTCCATTCTTCTGAGACTCCACTGTTTCTCTTCTTATTCTCTGTAGCTAGTCACAGGCTTCTCAGTGCGGTCTCCTCGTTGTTGAGTACGGCCTAGTGTGAATATTAATCCTGAATAAAATCTTACCTTTCATATTACTGTCACGCGGCACTAATTACGCTTCTTGTGCACAGAGCTGCCTAATGTAAATTAGCTCAGCTTTCTGGCGATGAAACATGTACTCAAAGTGTGCTATTTCGCAAAACATCTTGATGACACTTTGATGAACTTAGTCGTCATCGTCCTACGATATCAGTTCAAGTTAATGGTTGATTTTTGTTGTCAATTTTTTTTACTAGGGAAACGCACCAATTCAGTGGTATTAACAGTGTTTTTGATGCCGCACTTAACGGTCCCAAAAGGGCATTCTTTAGTTTTAAGCTGAACAATCAAAGTCCCTATATTGGACAGCATGCGTACATGGGATGTTTTTAAGTCCACATGGGGGGTGTTCTCTTTTAGGGGCGCCCATCCTGGGGACAGTTTATCTCTTGTTGGAGGTACTATCTCCTCGGGAACCACCCCATGGGATGAGTGTGGCGCTTTGTTTGCTTCGCACAGCGTATGCAGACTGATCTACGTTCCAAGGAACATCCTACGTGGCGGAACGTCAAATTTCACCCACTGCTCATTCAGTACAGTTTTGTATTTTTGTACGGAACCGACAGCTACAAGTTTTTAAGTATGCCATAAACTTTTGAGAATATTTTACAACAAGGAGTATTGGTGTACTGGTGTACGGCAGCGAAGCATCAGTGTTGAGAAGTGAAAGTATGCTGTCAATGTTGACGAGGTTCACCAGGATTAGAATGTCCACATTAGCATCTATAACTGCACTAAGACAATTTTATACAAGCAGGACTGTGAAATCCCTTGTATCACCTATCTATGCAGTCTAAGCCAATGTTCCCATTGTTAAAAATATCTGGTTTTGAGGTTACTATAATGCAGTATTATTTTTGGCTGGAGCTTCTTTTTAGCCGCTTTCAATACCGCTTGAGTGCATTACGACTTGTGCTACTATCGTAGGCCTCCTTCTCCGGGTGACTACATTCCTCGTTTCATTCCATTCTCAGTGCCTATTCAACAGTCGACGAATGGCGTCGTGACGTTCGGCTGATTTTCGACAACTGTGAAATATTCAATGAAGACGACTCGGAAGTTGGTCGCGCTGGGCATACCATGAGAGCCTACTTCGAGTCACGTTGGTGCCAACCATCCAACCAACCGTGTTCTTCAGTCGCAGTCGCACAACTGGTGAAGTCCGGTCTATCAGCCACTGCACAACCGACAGATGTACACATCCAAACGACCAGGCCGAATTCCCCGTCGGACATCATTCTAGCACGTCTAAAGGAAAGTGTTAATTCTGGTTCCAACTGTGTTGACCAAGTCACAGATGCTCCCGATGTTAAAGCACCACAGTGTCAAATGGATACTTCACAAACCCAGTCAAGCAATACCTCAGATCCCCACTACAATGATTCGCTTCCTCAATTACCCAGCCCAGCGCACTCGGATTATTCAGATGGGCGTTCTTCTGGGTTTTCTGGATTTGAACAAAACGAGTGTATGATGGGCTTACAGTTAGACGACCTCAATTCACCTGTGTTGACATCCATTGACCCAGAGGCAGCCCCAGTACCACGTACTCTGTGTGATCGCGAGTCAGCCTACCCGACTTTGCCTTCGGAAGTTTGCCTTCCAACCACGACCGTGTCGTCTCCGTTGTAAATCTGGTCAGCACATCTTCCATCACTCTGTAGATAATCCCGTTTTGTGTTCGTTTTTTGTACCCCAACCGAACTGCAAACCATAGCAACCCATCTAAACAAATTTCATTCACCTTGGAACTTCAGCTACAACTGCTAACGAAGTTTTTCGGTTAAAGTGGGACAGTTTTTAATCAGAGACTCACTTCATAGGTCAAAACTAGTTCATCCACAAGCATTGATACAAGTCTAATCAAATCTAAACGATCACAAGGAGGCATTTTATCATGGTTAAAAGATTCTAGTTATCTGTCCTTAACTCCACCGAAATGTACCATGTGGTCCAGACACCCATTTTTGATGTGCACAAAACCATGGTGACTGGGTTCACTCAAGCAAACAAACGTCAATCGAAACAACTTAGCGATCCCACATTTTCTCCCAGGGTCCCAAAGGCTTTATTTCAGTACCCAATAGGATGTCCATGTACAAGCTCCAAGTGTGTCTGCAAGCAAATTGCCGACTTCGTATTCAGCAATAGAGCTGGAAGATGATACTTTCTGTGGTGCAATCTCCAAACGGTTTCTACCTTCGGCCCTGTTTTTAACGGCATTTCTCTCCTGGTTGCTTACATTGCACGTAAAATTGGAGATGGAAGGTGTGAACGCAGTGATCCTGATGACCGAGCAAGGCAATCATACAAGGTATTCCTACAGTGGTCTATAACTTTTTTCTTGGCTCCTTTTCTCGCTCGGTGTACTTCGTTCCTGGGTGAAAGACGAGCTCTTAATTGACTCATTTTGTACATATTTGTCCTTGCATTTCTCATAGCGAACTGCTAAACTGTCAAAGAAAAGACACTTTTGTTTCATACTTCTTTCAGTCTTCTGTGCTTTCTGTAATTGTTTCAGGAAGGACTGATCAACAGAGGTTAAAAGGAGCAATCTTTAGAGTAAATCTGTCTAAAAGACGGTTCATTCTAGGAACAAAGCACAAATGTCATATTTCAGGATCATCACACTTCAAAGAACCGCTCAATGGGAGATTGGTTGTTAGTTAGATTTACAATGGTCATATCAGAATTCGACCTGAACTGTATCATGTTCAGCATTAAATGTTAAAAGGTCCAGCATGAAATTAATCTTGAGTTCGATGAAAACTGGGTGTATGATTTGTCTAATAATATCTAGGATAATTGATTGAGATCTTGAATATGGAGCTAACTGAAACATGAGTTGACCCGTTTGCAGTTGTAGGATATCATGAACAAGAGATCTAGGTGAACTTCACCTGAGTCTTCAGGTAGCTTCAGTTGTAGCTAAGTGTTTGAAATGTGGCCTCTTCTGTTTCCTTCAACAATCCCTATTACCAGTCATAAATAAAGCACTGAACAACTGGAAGTTGACAGTTTGTCTTGTCAACTAAGACAACGAGGGTAATAAGCACCTATCTATAACAGACGTAACTGCCGGTTTTCTTGAACATTTGGAATGTTGCTCGACTAAAGGACTCTCACAGAAGTGCGCATGTAATCAAAATCAAACTAGCTTGGTCACTTGATGTTCCAAAACCTCCTTTAGGGTGGAATTGGCTCAGTAATGCCTTGTTCGACGTCATTCTTGGAGTAGTGTCCAATGTTATATATATATATATATATATATATATATATATATAACGAGCTTTCTCAGAGATTTGTTTCAATCAGCTGCCGATCAAAACGCAACAACGTTTGCATCGTACCGAGTCTATAATCAAAAACCCACTGTCACTCGGGCAAATTGCATACGACGCCAAAATCAGTGCCCGATTTATGTCACGATTAGCTGCTTTTTATGGTGCAGAAACGCCGTACCATATTTCTCATTGGTTCACAACTGATCACCCAATTTTATGCACTGAAGGCAGTAAGAATAGTCCCGCAACACAAACGTCTTGGCTGCCTCCTCTTCTGGTTTTCACTTGCTTTCAGGAAACTCTAACGCGCCCGACCACGTGAGGTCTGCAGGATTTTCACGACTGATTTTCCCATCTCACAGGTACCGAAATGGATAGTGAGTAACTCTAGTTTTCGCCGCCGAAAACGTTAACTTTGCTTTCACAGATTCGTACAATAACGCAGGAGTATTACACTCAGTTGACCGCATATGGTTTACCACATCACTTGCGCAGACGTTTTCGAGAAACGGGTTTAGGCGACATTCGGTTTGGCCGACATAACTTTTTGGACTTCCTAGGTTCAAACCCTATTCTCACGCTAATCACGCTTTGCAGCAAATGCCATGTGACCATATGACAGCGACGCAGCACTAAAAAATAACATAAGCCTTTCTTGGCTGCCTAAAAAGCAGATTAAAGCGTATGCTGAGAATCAGGTACCAATGGGTGCAATCGGTAAAATAAACCTATAGGATCATCCGGACTAAACACTCTAAATGTTGTGGTACTATCGAAACTTTCGGTTGCCTGTGCACCAATGGAACTGTACTTTGTTTTCAATTGCTCGCCCCTATTGATTTCAACCTAAAAGCGGGGGACCAGATAAGGAGGTTCAGTTAGTTTACGTTTGCGGTCGTTATTATCTGCCAGCTGTTTCATTACCAAAGGTAACTGCATGCTTTTGTGCATACTTCGTCTATGTACTCAGAGCAGATATACGATGCCGGCCAGGGTGCGACCAGTACTTTTAATTTCGTTCTGTGATGCCGGTAACACGAACCTCAAGTTTACACACTTCCCTGAAATGCACCAATATCTTAAACCAGGAACGGGACATCGATTTAGCAGAACGAGATCTTACCTTAAGGTTGCTAATCCTGAGGCTGCTGAAGTTCCACAAGATAAGAAGAAAACAAGAAATGATCACGGCACTGGGTATTGTTTCTCTGGGACTAGTCAACTGTTTTCTATCTTGTGTATCACTATTGTACGAACAGCATTCATTGTTGAAATTATTTTCACAAAGCGATCAACCACGATATCGTATAAATCTTGTGAGACTGCGGATGAATGTTGGAACAGGCTGAAACCAACACTCTCCATACGTCAGAGTTGGTAGTCATATCTATTACAGGGGATTTGTGAACTTGCCTGAATTTCTTCATCATATCTTGCAACCAAATTGCAAGGAGAGTGAAAGAAAAACATTCAAACCGTATTTTTCGAAAACGGGCATATCCAATGGTCAAAATGTGCGCAACAAATCTCAGTTACCCTACAGATCACATCGAGCTTGTTTAGACAGCGCATCATATCACATGGAAATTGAAATTCATAGTTTCTTCTGCGCAGAATCGCCTATTCTAAAAGACAAATTAAAAGAGCACAATAAAGAAGAAACGATATTTTCTATCTTCATTCAGCCGACAAATAATTGCGTGTACGCAAGTGTCCTTCAGTCCGACCGGTATGTTACAGCGAACTATAACAAGGCGACTGCCTCGGACATCCACATTCACATACACTCGGTTGTCGAAATCCGCGTGTCTGAAAGCATCTTGTACCATTTGCAGAAAACTGATGGCTGATTGAGATCCCATTGCGATTGAGAGTCCCCACGTTTATACGCGAAAATGTAGACGACGGCTTGCGAAATGACTTTATCCAACTTCTGTTCATATAACGACGGCAAAAAATCTATTCTTATTGTAATAACCTGTACCTGTTTGTCGCTGTGGTTCTCACAACCTGCACTGGAATTCCACGAGGGAATAGGACTGAAGACCGAAGAAAAGAAAATGCATTCGGCTTGTAACATTGTGTATTTGGTAGCGCGTCGTATGAGCCGGAAACAGTAACAAACGACAGAAGTCTATTTGACAAAATGCTCAGACCATGGGTGCTTTCCTTGAGCATGATGCTCGTTGGAGATGCTAACTAGATAGAGGATCAAATGACGGTAACCGAAAGTTTTTGAGTACGGTGAAAGTGGAAAGATAACTTGATAGGTTCGCATGTCGGCTCAACAGCATTTAATTAGGGAAGACGGATGGCTAGAAAAATAGGATAGAGCTGGGTGGATGCAACATCGCATCGACCTATTTAGCGTCATCAAACTGCGCCCTAATTCTATCCGCTCGGTCCGGGTTTTTGAAGCTCATTGTAATCCATAATCTCTAAGGTTATCAATCACCGTCTGTGAAAACGGTGCCCATTGTAATACGATATCGCGAATCGCGGTAAAACAGGGATCGCTTACAACGGATTAAATTCACAGAGAGTTCTTCGGCTTAAATAATTCAGTGAGCCTTCTAGAAACCACATGATCATTGTGGATGCAAAATGCGTTGAGTCGCTTATCCTGTTCATGTTTTCTTGTCTGTCTAGATAAGGAACTATGTTTGGGGACCTTGATGATCTTTATTCCTAGTTATCATCGCAGAAGACGCATTCGTTACTATCGGGTGAATCGCGCTAGTTTAACGAACGTAAGGCTTGCAAATGTTGATGTGTGCAAGTTTGTTGTAAAAAGGCAGAGTTCTTCGTTCCAGCCGGCAAAATATGCCAGAGAAACCATGCAGTCAATAATAGCGGACAGCTAAAGTTGATACACATGACTAACATGTGACCGGGGTTCCAAGATGCCTACTCAACTAGCCAAACGGCTCCAAGTGCCTCAAGACGTGGGGACATACATACGTGATCATTCGATAGACAGCGTTCAGAACGTAACCGTTGCCCTCCAGGATTTCCCGTCAGTCGAAGTGCTGTAACGTACGCATCTCGTAGCCACTCGGTGTGCTGGGAAACCTGTATGTAGTGATCTTGTGTGTTTGAGTGTTGCGCCGGTTTTTCGGATGACCGTTTGCATTCTCCAGACGGTTATTGGTCGCGTAAATAAAGCGGGCCATCCTGTGTTGTGCGTGTACATCTCATTTACGAGTAATGTACAGTCGATGAGCCGTAACATAAGAGACAAATCACGGGTCCGTGCAGTGCAGTGGCTCTTCTTGTCGCGTCATCCAAGCGAACCATACGGTGGAATATGTGCCGGCTGTTCGCAGAGTGTGGATGTCATATGATACATGCGTGCTTCGTGATAGCACTGCTAATATGGAAGTAACTCAACATGACGTCACAGCCGAATACTAGTCTTGCTGTCCGCACTTGTGCGGCCGACTTGTCCACGGCAAAAGTCTTCATTTGATACTGCTCGCCCATCATTTCCCTAAATAAGCCGAACAGTTTACCCATGGGAGCAAACTGTTCGTGTTTTCGAAGGCATACGTAACTGGACGCCCGGTACCCATTCCATCTGTGATCAGTAAGGTGTACAGCTTGTGCCTGCAGACCAGATGTTAATTGCTTTAAAACACTTACCCAAAATGGTTTGTCGCGTGCGTTTCGTTGACATCTGTGAAGCATCTAAGCAACGCTATATGCTACCACCTGGAGAAGCATGTGCGGCTGTAGTGACCTTCTTCTAACTGTAGCACAATTACGCGTCCGGTCTCCTGAAGTTTTGCCAGGACCAGAGGCATATTATCTGCCGCAATAAGACCCCACTATCCGTCACCTACTCAAAAGAGTTACTCGATACTTCCGGTGATAGTCGTATGTGTCCTGAGTGATACGGACATTACCGAACTCATCGGCTACAAACTGCTGAAGTTCACACGGTGGAGTTCCATTATTCTTCAGCCCTCTGCACATGCCCAACTCCTGTTCTTCGGAGAAGTTGATCGTACAAAAACTTGGGATCCTTAAAATTGTGTTCCATTTAATTAGAGTTGACTGCGAGATAGCCAGTGGACAAATGGTGTTTGCACATCTGGGTGCCCTAAGCATCTTGCAGCATTGCAAGTCTCCAAAAACTTCGAGTTGGCAGCTGAGCATATAAGCTCCCTGTGCAATACTTCTACAACTGACGGCTACGGCTCG